ATAGGGACTACATTTTTTTGTTTTAAGGACTAAAATTGGGCAGCAAAAAATAATGGGGACTCAGTCTGGATACCCCCTAAACATGGAGGACCAAAAGTGGACTTTGTCCAAGAAAAAACTCCATCCTAAAAAGCGTGTTTGTTCTCCGGTGTTCTCAGCGTTTTCTGAAGTATTTAACTAACTAGTAAATCGCACGCGTGGTGATGGATTTTTTTGACAATTAAACTAGTACAGATCCCGTGCGATGCACGGGGTGCACAAAATTAAGATCATTTATCAAGTCTTATAATTATATAAATGAATAAATAAAAATGTACGGGATATATATAGTACGCGACCTGTAATAGACCAAAATGTGAACACGGGTGATGCACGGGGTGCACAATTTTAAGGTCATTTATTAGTACAGAGTCCGTGCGATTCACGGGGTGCACAATTTTCAAGTATGTGTAATACAAATACATATCGTATGCACTGGACATAAGCACTAAATGAGTTAGTTGCACAGAGCTTGCCTGTTAAGTAGCTCCTGAACATGGGTGCACAATTTGTAGTACGTACTATAAAATCAGAACAAATTTCCATACAATTAGATAATAAATAAAGCTTTTTTTATTTTAGTAAAGATTTTACGTACTTTTTTTTTACTTATCGGATGTTATGAGATTTTTTTTGTTAAAACGATTTTATGGGATATAATACAAATATAATTAGAGGATTGAACAAAATCATAACATATTTCTATACAATTAGATAATAAGAAGGAATTAGATAAGGAAAAAAAGAAATTAGATAAAGAATTTTGAATCTACCTTTTTTTTAGTATAGATAGACATTACGTACAAATTTTGACTTTACCGATTTTATGAGATTTGTTTTGACAAAATCAAAGACGAACACTGAAGACTGTTTCTATTAACTTTACACTGTGTATTTAATATTTTTTTTAGCCAAAATATTCTTTTATGTGTGATATATAAATATTAAAAATACTTAAAATGTTTTATAACATTTATAAAAGCATCTAAAATATTACATATTATTCATAAATAATGTTTGAAACTACCTAAATTTTTCTAAACTATCCGTAAGGAAAATATGTATAAAAATTCTTCATTTAACCTCGATATATATATATAGAGAGAGCAAATATGTAAAAAAATTTATACAAATAGTATTTAGAAGTATCTAAAATATTAGTAGTTAGACAGGTAAAATTTAGATTTCTGAAAATTTATATAGATAATGGAATTATAGTAGTAATTAGACTTTTATTTACCTTTAAAGTTGTTACGATAGAGGGATGTGATTTTTTTACTGGTGGAGATGGAATTTTATAAGCTGAGTTATGAAATTTTTCTTAAACTCGTCCATATCTATGCGATGAGTTTTTTAAGCTGTATATATAGATTTAAAAAAAAAAAAAAACTTTCATAAATCATTTGATTTGGTATTTTCGGAGAGCTTCATTAATTTAAAAGTGTAAAATAAATAAATAAATAAAGTACAACTAAAAAAGTTAAAATCAGTTGTATGGAGAATTAAACTAAATCCAATTTTGTAGAATGCATTAAATATTGATTAGATTTTATATGTAAAATAAAATAAAAAAATAACTGGAATAGTTTTACGTTTTACAATATTTTATATTTAAAAAAATTTAAAATCTTCTTTTACGTATTGCATACCAACATTTTAGGAAATACATGGATATTCCTAAATTAATACTACCTCCTATTTTAAATAGATGTCGTTTTGGGATGTTGCACATCTATTAAGAATATTTTTTTTTTGTCAATAATAACCTTATTTAATGAATATAGAGATTAATGTTTTGAGAAAAAGATGAAGAGTGATTATGAAAAGACGTGATGTATTTATTAGCTAAATGAGGGTAATAATGAAAAAATATGTACAAAAGATCCAAAACGACATTTATTTAGCAAATAGTTGATAAAGCTAGAATGACATTTAAAAAAAAGGAGGGAGTATTGCATACTCAATATTTTATGAACTAATTAAATGCTAATTTGATTTTCATACCAAAAATATTAGATGCATTAATTAAATGCTTGATAAAAGTAGTAAATCATTAATTGGGGTTGACTATTCTACATACTACATTTAGTAAATAGTATAACTGTTAATATAAGTATAGATT